ATTCATTTTGTCCTCTGCGAAAATCTTAAAATCTAGTTTCGCAACACGAGAAACAACTGAGACGCTAAATTTACACGGTTAAAAGCTTTTATGACTTATGAATGACAAGATAAACAAAATTTTGTCAATTTGAACGATTTTGTCCAGTTTTTACCTTGGACAAATTTTGTCGGCGATGCGTCTGAAAATTTGTCCGCTTCGGCCAAAATTTGTCAAGTCGCGACAAACCATCCGCACTTGTAGACGGTTGGTGGTGACAGAAATTTTGTCTAAACAAACAACTTTTTCGCAAGTGCGAATCGGCCCTTTGTCAGTTTCTGATGCAATTAAATAATGGTTGTATTCACCACCGCAAGTCTGTTGCAAGTCAATTGCAATTAATGAGTTGCCAGTAATTGGATCCTCGTGATTGCACAAAGATTTCTGGGCTCGTCGCGGGGCAAACTTGTAGGGGATACACGGCGAAAGGTTGTTTCGACGTCTAAAAAAACCGATTTTGGAGAGAGATCAACGCTTTTCGCTGCGGTCTTTTTCATGAATGGATAGAGATAATGTTGATTGGAGGGAAGTGTAAGTTTTTGTTCGTATTTTCACGAAATATGTCATGAAATATACCGATGAACGTCTCTCCTTTCGTAAGGTTTATTGTGAGTCGTTATCTCGTAATGGTCTCGACATTTGTAAAATTAGCCATGAATCGCCAAGAAAAAACTCATTTAAGTCTTTTCAGTTGTATTTATGTCTGCACAGCCTATTTTCATACTTGTTAACGTATAAATAAACAAATTATGACTTCTGAAGATATACCTCCTCAAAAGAGAGAAGTCGTTGTCTGCGGAGATGGAAATTGTTTGTACAGAGCTACTACTCTTTGGAAGGATTAAAAAAAGCGGTGAAAAACATCAGGAAATCCCTTGTTCAAGTTATAATTTGTTTGAGAATAATCCAAAGATTTTTGAGCTGCCACTTTTCTTCGCGAATTCTTGGAAGATCTTGTCAAGAAAAGCAAGCTCCAGAGAATTCCGGCAGAAACTGTGGACATTTATTTAGTTGTGCATCGCTCGTCAAGCAACCCATTTGTGCCTACTCATCGTCGCAGAAAAAAGGGTTCAGTTCTGAGTCATTTGCCAACGCTGGTCCGTCCACATTGATCACAAAAGAGAAGCAATGTAGGTGTTAAATCACTTAAATGTCTCACGATAATATTAAATGCTCAAGCACACCATTTCAATCTCATGCTGCCTTGAGAGAGCTCTTGTTACTCTCTTTTGTATTACCAAGCCAAAACAAAAGCTAGAAGTAGACTATACACAGGTCGTAATATCTTAAAAAGCTTCATTGGTTTATTTCTTAGCGATTTATAGCTGATATTTCCACATTTCGAGACCATTCAGCGATGCCAGTTTCACAATTACCTTGCGCATGAACGTATGAACAAAGCCTGGATTACAAACCGAGCGGACTTTCATTTATAACCAAGCAAAATACATCGTAGACTATGAGACTTTGGTAAACGTCCAAGAAAAATTAAGTTCTGATCCCAAAGTAGCTTAAGGAAAAAATATTACTAATGTGGGAATGTCTCAACCAAGGTTCGTAACCTGACCCGCCTTAGGTGGTACATTCATCTCCATTGTCACGGCGCTCGCATTTCATTTCCGTTCCACACCATGGCCTTTATCATGGTGAGCTTGCTCAAGACTTAAAGCTTTCGATACTTTTACCAAATAATAGCGGCCGCAATTTAGTTAACAGAAAGTTTGCAACTGTGCGTCAAAAGAGTAAAGAAGTGCATTGGCTTTTAGGTCACTTTACTGCGTTTTCACGACACAAAAGAAGCATTTAGGACTTTTTTTCGTCCTTTACTGAGAAAATAACCGCACAAAAGTATAAACGAGATTACGTTAAGGAATAAGATGAAAGGGTACTCTAAATCCGATTGTAAAGCTCTAATATATGTAATTATGCACCGTCAATACACTTTCATCATGCTATTTTAGTGTAGTTTTCTTATTTCATGTCGCAATTTCCATGTCCATTCGTGAGCACTATCAGCATAACTTTCATGGCGAAGAAGTAGGTCTCTCAGCAGTTTCAAAAGTTTGTATGGAGATGGAAAATTCGCAACTAACTGGACAAAGTTATACATTAAAGTAAACTAAAAAATGTAGTAAACACTTTTAAAATTTTAATATCTGGTGAAATATAACTTATTCCATGCAATAATTGTAAATGTAACTCTATTTCATTATGGAAAACAAAGCCAAAGTAATGTAATTTATTGTGTGTGTCTCTAAAATAAGTGGGATCCCTTTATTCTGTATACATTCAATCTGTAAATTCCGTCGTTATTTTGTCCGTTGAAAGACCGTGATTGTAACATGTTCTTATACATAACGGCGCTCACCAAGACGCCCACCAAAACCGCAGAACTTTTTTAAATTACAATAGGGCCAATATACCTGTCAAACACTTAGGAATGGAGTTTATCATTGAAAGGTTATACAATGCATGTTGACAACTGAAAATGATGAGAATCAATTTTTTAGGTTCCTAATTACAACAGCCAAGCCGTGTTATGAACGCAGTTGGAAAGAGAGTTCTATGAACTGATACTTTACACTTCCATTTGTCCTTCATACATACTTAAGTGTTAAGTTAATAACTGCGTTATAATCCAGCTAAACGGCCTTGAAGAGGCAAATATGACAGACTACTTGGGGCACAATAGAATACTGAATACACTCCGTGTTCCCGCTTTGGAAAATTCCGGTCACTTTGGAGCAAATGTCGGTCACAGAATGCTAAAGGACGCCTTCTGATTTCCGAGGACTAACACTCTTTGTTTGTCTTGAGCTTCCCTCCTCGACTTTGTTCTTCGATTCTGAAACCAGGTTTTCACTTGCTTCTCCGTCAGATTTAATACTGAAGCTAACTCTGCCCGCTTGCTTTCAGTCACATACTGGCATTTTGTATACTCCTTCTCCATGGTCTCAATCTGGTTGGCGGAAAATAATTGACGCTGCTTCCTTTTCTTCATTGGCCTTCTTCGTTTACTTTGGAAAGGCACTTCGTCTGGATCGTAGAGAGGAATAATCAAATTTTTACAACGTCTAACATCATCTTTTAAAGTTACCAGAGAATGACTTCTCGACAATATTGCTTTTTATAACGGTGATTGTGCCACATATACATTAGCCAGTTTTGCCGTATAACATGGTTGTGAATGGGAAACCATTCCTTAAATTATAAGCCTCTACATACACTGATGAAGACGCATTAAATTAGGAAGACATGAAGGGATCGCTCCATGGGTGAGTTTACTGTGAATACTATTACTTAGCTCCCTGATTTGTTATAACATAGTTGTTGTCTTTGAACTAAGACCTCCAATGTTAAATGGAAGTGTTAGCAACCGAGTTCTATTTGCTCTAGATTTAAGCGCAATGGCTTTTAGCCTTAACAAGTGTAGATGTATAATGAGAAATACCCACTCCATAAGAGTCACGGTTATTTCTGTTGTCAACTTGGGTTGTAAACTACTTTCATGACAGGATTCAAAAATCGTGTTAGTTCAAGAATATTTCGTAGCCTTTCCGGATATACTTTGAGAGGTGACGCATCACAATTTAATTGCAGAATGAGTTCGTGATCAGAAACACGCTCATCTGTTCTTTTACTGTCTCTCTTTTCGTTTCTCTAATGCAGTGTTTATTCGAGACAAATGAATTGTGAAAGAGATTTTAAACTTGTTCACTCGTAATGAAAGGAACGTCGTTCTAAGCCATGCCAGATCATTACCTCACTTTTTTTGTATTTCACCTGACTTTTTAAACATAAAACCGTTTTAATGTATAACTTTCATTCCTACCTTTTCGAAAGTATCATAGAGGAAATCGAACTGAGTTACAGCCGTGTTTGAGGAACCACAAGAACAATGACATTAAAGACAACAATTTATCCTCGTTAACACCTTATGAACCTACCTAGTGGATGTCTGCTGTTTGAAACTGGAGAATGGCCGAAAATTTTCACTGAGTGAGGGTAAAAAATTTCACCAAAGTTGAATTTCGAGAGAATGGTACACAGAGGGAAGTTTAGCCCATTGTATGAACGCTGAGGGACAGACCCAGGAACAATTGCCAATGATGGACTGGAAAAGGAATAATTCAAAAGTTTGCATGCTGAACTGTCGGGGTGCCTTTCTTTCTCTGTTCTAACTGAATGATTCAACAGGTTTTCGATGAAAAAAGAACTTCCAGCAACAGCTGCTGGAGATGTTGACGGACTCTCTGACGCCATGTTGACTTTGAAACAGGGCGCGTGATGCAGCAGTATTACAATGAATAACAATTGATTATTTGATACGTGTAGCAGCCGGCTTCAAACAACAACCGCTCATTATGTATAGTGTCAATGATAACATCAATATTACATTGACCCGCTTTGCAGTTTGATTCCACTGAACGCCTCAAAAAAAAAGAAAAAGAAAAAATAAAGAAAAAAAAAACGACGTTTACGTTAGAAAAGTGCGTTAGCGGAAAGGATATTTATTGGACTCAACACATATCAGTTTCAACTCTGAGTCCCATAATTAAAGGGGCTTGACAGAAAGGTAACTTTACTTTGATGCATTTCCGTTTCACGATGCCAGACCTGCTGATAAGAATAACTTTACGCTAAACTGACAAACAATAAAACTTGGTCATAATCGGCCCCGCTGCGCCGTGCATGCAAAGTACAAAAGCATTTCAAAACATGCTTAAACATTCTCTTAAATATCTCAGTGTCCTCATTAATGTTCTTTAATAGTGCAGCTACCGCTACCTGTAGTTTTTGTAAGGATTTCTGTCCCTTTAAAGGTCAACACTGACTGACCTCTAAATGAACATCATACTAAGACCACGAATTAGACTCTATTTGCAGTCAGTAGCTTTGGTTACTTTTAATTTTTGATCGACCTGGCATTTGTCTTTACCTACACTTTTCATTTCGTCTCATCAATAGTCGAAATGAAGCAATTCTGTGATGGAAAAAATCCTGAAATTCGAAGGCTGTGAATAACTCGATTATCCCAGGTGCTGACTTTTTTAGTTCAATAACGTTGGAGGAGTGGCTATTTCCATAACATTTTTTAAGCAATTTCAGTGACACAATCTAAATAAATTAACCACAATGCAACATAAAATTGAGCTGGTTTCTGTGATGCTTAACTTGACTACAATAAATGAGAGAAACCAAGGTCACTGATTCAAATTTAATGAGATTATGCCCTCTCCTATGTTAAAAGGGAATTCCGCTATTTTACTTCGTTCCCCCTTGACTTAGTGAGTCGAGTGATGATAAAGGTATAGAGTCAAGTTCATTTTCATTTCATGGAGCTTGTGAACAAAGGAGTCTTCATAAGTTTGAAATGCCATTTGAACCAACAGACTCCCTTGTTTGGCTCATCGGAGAATGATAGCTGGGAAAAATAGAGATACATTGGCTCGTTTGATTATGAATCTACCTGCCAGCTTTCTGACTGCCGACAGCTGAACTTCGGGTAGGCATTGACAGAATGATTGATTGCGTCGCCACGCCAATTTCAGTCGGAAGTCTTGTACGTGTTAAGGTGGCCTTATATAGCGTTGACAAACGCGGCGGCAGACTGCTACCACATCCATAAAAGCATCTGGATACTCCGCTAATGGAACACGAATGCTTGAGTTCTTTAAAACACACAATTACGCACGGGATTGAAAATGAAAAAAATGCATTCAGTGTATAGAAATTGGTGGGAGGGTTATATGCTGACCTCCCCTGAGAGTCAATGGGAAAACATTTGGACCCTTGCTTTTTTGGATCCTTACGTGCCGTAGCTCTTCTAATTATAGTTCAGGTTACGAAGTTCAGGTCTCCGCCTTAAAACTCAAGAAGATCTCTGTTACAACTGTCTGACGCTTTGCTGAGGTACATTCTTGGTCTCATTTGTTACTTAATTAATTGATAGGGAAATGGTGACGTCCTGCTAACTACTTAGTTTCGTCGACGTTTCCTTCATGACAAGACACAAAGGATTGCACAACTTATACGTAAAACGGTAATTGATATCTTTCATTCAGTCGAGCGGCATTTGACATTAACAAAATTTGATTAGAATCTATAGTGTCAATAGTTCATACTTAGAGCTATTTATACTCGTGGTTTTCAGAACGACTATATTCTTTTGGCGTATTTAATAATAATAATAATAATAATAATAATAATAATAATAATAATTTAACGCTTTTATTGCGTGCTTTCCATGAAATGATCAAGTGCGCATTACATGATTTCTATCTATAGCAATTTAATACAGGGTATCTAACTGATAATTATTTAAAATATACTATGATGAAATTAAAATATACAACATATGTTAAGATACTAGTAATTATCGTGATATTTGATACTGACTTCCTCTCCTGGATTGCAAAACTGATGTGATCCGAATGTGGTTTGAGAGCAAAATCCCACCCTTCACTGTCCTTGACTGCGGATTTCCTTTCAACTTATTTGAACCAGTTCTACACACAAAATGGGTCTTTTTTTTTATTGTCGGAAAGGTAGATGTATCAACTTTGTCCTGGGGTATCTTCACCTCTTAGAGCTCGGGTTAAATGAATTTATCCTGAAATAAAGTACAAGATAATCTTGATCATAGATATTTTCCTGGTAGGAATATGACCGAGTAATAATCAAAACACCAAAAATAACTCAACGATGAAATATTATATTCAATTTCTGCCAATTATCAAGAAATAACCTCAAATGGTCTTTGTTTCGAGGGAGTATTATGGATTATATCAAGAGATTCCCACCAAAATTACCCGCCTTTAAGCAAATCAGTGATATTTTAACAACCTGTCGCGCTTGATTAATGACCAATACTGTCACCAGCTCGAAGAACTACAGCCGGCAGTACCAGAAGCTCCGAGGAATTTCCCAACGCAGGTAAAACGTGCGCTATTTTGTTATTGTTTTTATTAAATCTATCATTTTGGTTGACTGCTTTCGGATATACAGTGAACAAAGAAAGTCTACTTTTCGGTGCATGCACAACGTGCCTGTCAAATTCATCACTATTAGATAGGTTCGATTGAAATATTCATGATGATACGGCCACTGTTCTTACATTTGGTTGAATTATTTGAAGTTTTCACCTAATTCTGTCTCGTATTTATGGTCTTTTTATAATCCATGGGTACCTTCTCGATAAACTTAGTTTAGTAAAGCAGCATAAATCGTATTTCCTCGATCAGTCAGTTTAGTAAAGAACTTCGGTGCCCATTTACTTCGTCGTCTTTGGAATGACAGCTTCGCTTCCTCATTTTCGAAGTCTTCCCCCGAAGTCCTTTACCTTGGTATGCTCTCTTTCTATGGATAGTGTTTACATCGTACGCTAAAACGTTCACGGGGCTCTAATGTGTGATCCAAAATTAATAGTCAATTAGAGAAGTTCATGTTAAGTTAGCGAGTCAAATATTTTTAAAGGGTTGCAAAAAAGGCAAATTAGCTCGCGCGAAAACTCTGAACGGTACTTTTCGAATTTTTCGTGATATTGTTTAAGTTCATTCCGTTTGAAAGGCATTTTCATGGTGGATGTGGTTTCCAATTTATATCCAGATTTTTTCCTCCACTAACCACAGTGTTCTTCTTCCATTTCAGCGGCGGAGCTCTGAAGACATTATTCTGACTTGCAAATCTTAATGAGTGTCATTCAAAGCCTATTTAAGCTGCTCTCATGGATTGCAATTGTAGCAACAACTGTTGTTGACCTTGGTAAGAATGTTTCAGCTGATGAAAGGTTCTACATTGTGTTGCTGAATTCAAAGTTTATATTTGAGATTTAGGCCATCTCTTCGTGACACTGTACCCTTTGAACTCGTTAAATCCTGTTCCATACCGAATTGTGTACTTTAAGCTAGATTCGGCAGCATAAAAGCCGAGTTAGAGCGCTCTCTAAGAGTACTGTTTATGATTCATACTGTTTTAGATGATTTTTTGTATACTTATTATATAAAGATGTTAATAGTTCCTCTAAACAGGCATGGCCGAGTGTCCACAATGAGAACTGAGCCTTCTGGAAGAGCCTTGAAAGATCCTTCGTCTTCAAGACCTTTAGGTAACAGCGACATAACTAAACTCCTGGAGGACCTAGACAATCAAACGGAAGCCATCAAGACTGGTCAAGAGATAGGCGAAGAACTTTTAGGCGAGAAAAACCATACCAGATTAAAGGAAGATGAAGTGGAAACAATTGATGGTAGTTTATTTGGTAAGTTTTGGTTCTCTATATGCATATTTTGTTTGCCATTTATCAGAAATTAGGTTTTGGTCCACTCTTAGGTCCCTGTGAAGAGAAATTTTCCTCAGAAAACAGGGAAGGGCTAATATCAAGTGTGGATAATATTTTTTCATTTTTATCCCTCAGAGTATTCTAATGATGAGAGCAAAGGAGAAGACTTTCCAGCGGAAGTCAAAGGTACCGTATATCAGTGTGTTCATTTGAAAGAAAAAAGGGAGGGAGAGGTAGCAGAGCCAACGTTTTTAAACGTTGGCTCTGCTACCTCTCCCTCCCTTTTTTTAAACGTTGGCTCTAAAAAGCCTGGCTCCGACGTTTAGAGTAGTAAAATAGATTCACATGTAGCAAAATAGACTCATTATTCATAAGTCATTGTTCAGTTTGCCTGTGCATAACAAAAGATCTTGTATTAAAGACATATATCCTTAACCTTCTTCTGATAGCCTGTGAATAATTGTGGATAATAGTTGAAAAAATTTCATTTTGAATGTGAACAGATGACTCCTCACAGGCTGTGAGTATAACAGGAGCTCCTGCGCTGGTCGATAGAGACGGAGTTCCAGACAAAACAACAGCCCTTGAGAGCGGGGCTTCTTATTTAGCTGGCAAGCCCCTGTTGATGCTCAATAACAAAAGTGAAGACCTAGATGTAAGCAAATGGTTTCTGTACTACCCAATCTCGACGGAATCTGATGAGCAAAGAGCATAATCATTAAGCGTTATTATTGCAACGTATATGTAGTTGCGTACGTCGAACGGTATTTGCGAGAACTACATTTCTCTTGTTAGTTCTTTACCTCATGAGAAGTCGAATTTTGGATAAGAAACATAAGGTCTCAGCACTCGTTTAGGAGGTAAAGCACCTCGAGGATATCAGAAGTGAGTATACCAAGTGAGCTAAAAAGCTACCTGGGAGTTGGTCATTATATTGGTTCTTAATAAAAGTGAATTGATGGATAAATGAATGTGAATATATGGCTAGCTCAGTTGGTGAAGCTGGTACTTAGGTTACATAATATAAGTTCATATTTACCTGATGATTCCTATTCCACTTTGTTCTTTTTTCATCTATCCACTTGTTTTTTTTTTTTTTTAATAACAACATTACAGTGGCAGATCATCTTAGTCCAGGGGAAAGGAACTCCCCCCTCACTCAATTTATCAGATCTGTGGGTTTTTTTTTATTACCTGTATGACATCAAATTTCATGTCAAGACTGGATCGCATAGTACAACTAAATATGAAGCAAATAAAATTTCATTTGTTTTCTGAATCCAAATTTGCTTACCCCTCCCCCCTTAATGAAAAGCCCCTGTATTATAAAGTACTTGCGGCGTTTTATGATCCAAAAGCGTGACGTAACCTTTCGAAATTGTCTTCAAAGTGTCCCACAGATTCCATTCCACCATTTCGAAGGCAACTTGGTAACCAAACTAAACATGCAAATCTACAACGTGTATTCCACGAAGAGCTAATGTGACTATAGGCTTTGTGAATGCCATTTATTTAAATTGCTATGGGATGGAAAAAGAAAGGAATTCGACTTGGTATGTCACATATCAGTTACCAGGTTGCTGGGAAAAATTCAAAATAAAGGCTTCTGTAGTCCAATTACTATCACATTTCCAGATAATTTCCGAACAGTTAGGTCAATCTCTGGAATCTTAAAAATTGGACAGTGTTATAATCTTCACATAAGCTTTTAAACGGAGGACATTAAAATTATAAGCATCAGGGGGCCAACCGCAGCCATTTATTGAAATAATGGATTTTTTCTAGAGAGAGATTTCATTTTAAACATAAAAACGGTTTTTAGATGCTGAGACCGATAGGACTAGAAAAAGGCCCCGTAGCCCAATGGATAAGGCATCTGACTACGAATCAGGGGATTCCAGGTTGGAGTCCTGGCGGGGTTGCGGATATTTTGATTTTATAAACTCTATGTCATTTAAATTTCTTTTATCACTTTAATTGCTTTCATAAAACTATTAGGCTGGATAAGAAATCAAGTTATTTTTGGTAAAGGAACATCGCTAAAGGTGCCATTCAAACAAATTATATGTTTTTCCATTCTGATAGTCTCCGGCTTCTATAATATACGATATACGTCATTCATCGGTGAAATACAGCCCCTACGGGAAATCTTACCACATCTACCATTGGTTTAAGATACTATCACTGATCATCGATGATTATGAATGAGTCAAATCACTGTGATCATGAAGGATGATGGAGGGAAAATGAAGGAGACATATTCCCATATTTTCCAGTGGGAAAGACAACCAGGGTTTACCTTGGAATTTCGTAATGTCAAACTAAAGTCGAGCTCGTAGTCAGTGTTCAAAGAAGTATTTTGCTATTCTTTCTATGGTTAAATCATGCTCTGCTCATTTCATTTTCTTGCAAAGAATCGAGAAAAATATTGAAAAAAAAAGAGAAACAACCGGAACGAAAAATACAAATGTTTTATTTTTCAGACCTCGTATACACACAACTGCAACAGCAATAGAAAGTGGACTACGAATTTATGGAATGAGTTGTTTCTTTATAGGAATAGATTTCATTTTCGAGAATAATTCACCTTTTTTTCTTAACAAAGGCTCAATGGTAAGGCATCTGACTACGAATCAGGGGATGCTTGGTTCGAATCATGGCGGGGTCACTGTGCTTTTGATTTAATAAACTTTGTATCTTGTGGATTTCTTTTGTCATTTCAATCACTTTTACGAAGTTATGAGGATGGAGACCAAATCCATGCACTTATGGTTACCGATTATGCATCGCTGCATTTGCTCTTCAAAATGTTCTCAAACTCTTATAATACTAGTCATCCTTCCTTTAATAAAATATAGCCCCTGCCTGAAAGCTTCCAACATCTTCTGAGGAAATGAGTTTAAGATACCGTTCCTGATCATCAGAGATTTCCGTTTTTTTCAGAAGAAAAGACAAATCACCGTGATCGTGTAGGATGATGGAAGGAATATGAAACATATTTCGATTATTTAAAAACCAGCTCAGATTCTGCTGGAAGGAAAATCATCCAGGGTTTATCTTGAAGGATTCCAGTATCAAACTAGACACTGATAGCTGGATGCAAAGGATCGCGTAAAACGGTAGCTAGCGCTTGCTTTGGGTTCTGGCACATTGAGTTGGATGAGTCAAGCAGTTATGCGACTACTTTCGGAACACCATGGGGCCGGTTTCACTGGCTTCGTATGTCATTCGGAGTATCACTAGCTTCAGAAGAATTTCAGAGAAGAATTGATATTGCACTTGAAGGGCTATCAGGGCAGAAAGCTATAGCAGACAACATTCTGGTCTTTGAAGCGGGAGATACGGATGAAGAAGCCCTTGAGGATCATGACCGAAACCTGAGAGAGGTGTTCAACCGCTGTCGAAAGAAAGGTATCAAGTTGAATTCAGAGAAGATGCAGTTAAGGCAGAAAAAAGTCAGCTACATGGACCACATTATATCTTCAGAGGGTCTCGGCGCCGATCCCAACAAGTTGAAAGCCATCATCGAAATGCCACCCCCTTCTGATATGGCAGGCGTCCAGAGAGTATTAGGCATGGTAAATTACGTACAGGAGTTTTCACCCAATCTAACAGATTACGCTACTAGGGCCCTCACTCCTACGGAACTAAAAAAGGCCCAGATAGAGAAAGAGTTATTGTCAATTGTCTCTGGGGTTGAGTGGTTTGGGGGCTTTGTCTATAGTAGAAAGATTTTTATTAACACTGACCACAAAACCCTGGAATCCATTATGAAGAAGAGCCTGTTGAGTGTACCAAATTGTTGCAGAGAATGCTGTTGCATCTACAGAAATTTGACTTAGAAGTCTCATACAGAAATGGCACTGAGATGCACATGGCGGATCCCCTCAGCCGAGCCTACCTTCCCTTGACTAAACAAGAAAGTGTTTAGAAACAGCATGGAGTCTCACTGACATGAGATCACCAACAGAAATTGAGACTCAGCATGTAGGTTTGTTCCCATTCGACAACTAACTCTCTTAGAAATCAAGATTGCCACGGAAGTTGATGCAGAGCTTCAGGAATTAGTCACTATGATCATACAAGGCTGGCCAGAGAGAGGGGTAGACGTACCACTCAAGTTACAGAATACTTTCCTTTCAAAGAAGAATTGTCCATACAGGACGGTGTCGTGTTCAAGGGCGAGCGAATCATGGTACCATCTACCCTAAGGTAACTTATGATAGACAGAGTACATACCAGTCACCTCGGTGTTCAGGGGTGTCTCAGGAAAGCTAAAGAAGCCTTCTACTAGCCAGGCATTTACAAGAAAATTACAGAGTTCATCTCACGGTGCAGCATTTGCAACAGCTACAAACCAGAACAGCAGAAAGAATCTTTCATTCATTTCATTTTATTTTTATTTAAACACGGTCAATTCATCAGCCTAAAAAATACATACCACATACACTAGAATATTTAAAACTCAAACTATATACTATAACACTAAAAGCTGTTTTCCGTGAGTGCCGTGCGTTAGACTTAAAGAATGTCATTGATCTTACGTTTAAATACCCCCAGAGACTCTTTGTTCCTTATATCGCATGGTAGACTGTTCCATAATGTGGCGCCATTGTAGCTAAAGCTTTTTCGGTAATAATTGGTGCGCAGTAATGGAACATTGAGCCTATTTTCAGAGTCCCTGAGGTCATAAGCAGAGTCACGCCACGTAAACTTTGAAC